TGGGGAAAACGGGCTGCACCATGTTAGTTTAAATTTGATATTTATTTAATTGAAAGATTTAATAATAATCTCCATAATATTTGTTAGGTTCTTGTGTGTTTAGTTGCCCCCTTGTGTGTGTTAGCAGTGGTCTGATCAGCCACTATTTAAGTTTCCCTCATGTCTCGTTTGGGAGGTCAGTTTGCGCTTGAGTTTCTTTTGTTACCACTTGAGTTACATTTTGTTATGGTCACCTCAGTTTTTGGGCCCAATTTGTCCTTTTTGAATTATTTTGGACATTTTTTGTAATAAATTAAGATTATTTTTGGAAATTATTTTACGTCTCCTTGGCTGGTCTATGCAAAACCCTCACTTTTTTTTTTTGTTACCACTGGAGTTACATTTTGTTATGGTCACCTCGGTTTTTGGGCCACATTTGTCATTTTTGAATTATTTTGGACATTTTTTTGTAATAAATTAAGATTATTTCTGGAAATTATTTTACGTCTCCTTGGCTGGTCTATGCAAAACCCCTTCACATTTGGTGTGGGTGTTTTTTTCCCGTTTTTTTTTGTTATTTTTACTCACATATGCAGGCGGCGGCCAGCAGCCTGTTGGCCACGTAGGGGGCGATGCAGGTGGGGAAAACGGGCTGTACCATGTAGTTTGAGAAGGTGATGGCGATCACGGCCTGGCTGGTGGGCTCAATTATCAGCAGGGATGTCCAGAGCCGGATAAAGGCCAGGAAGCCCCCGAAGGCCTCCAGGATGTAGGCGTAGGAGGCCCCCGACTTGGTGATGGTGGTGCCCAGCTCGGCGTAGCACAGCGCCCCGAAGACGGAGAAGATCCCCCCCGCCGTCCACAGCACCAGGGAGAGCCCGTAGGAGGCGCTGTGGATCAGGACCCCCTTCGGGGACACGAAGATCCCCGACCCGATCATGTTCCCCACGATCAGGCACACGCCGTTGAGGAGCGAGATCTCCTTCTTCAGCTTCATGGACTCCTCCTTCTCCCCGTTGGAGTCCTCGGACGCCATCTTTAAAGTCTGAGTTATCTGATTTAGAAGAAAAACTGTTTTTTTCCCTTCACAAAGACGTCTTTTTTAGTTTTTTTCCCACTTTCTCCAGTCCGGTTATCGGCGATAAGCTCCCGCCATCTGCAAAAAAAAAACACACAGAGTCGGGTCAGGGATGCTGTTGCCATGGCGGCAGACCCCCCTCCTCCCATCCCCGTCCCCCCCGGATACCTGCGTTGTTCAAAAACATATTTACATGCAGACGCATAAACCGGGGGTATATTAGCAGACCTGTGTGGACACGGCTGGGTTTGAGAGACGTTTTTTTTGTGGACGGCGGGGCCATTAGGCCGCCCGGCAAATGGCCTTTTAAGGTTGAGTGTATTTACAGAGGAGGGGGGGGGGGGGAAAACCCCCCTAAAAACGCCGGCTCCTCGTCGAGCTAAAGGCGGAAGGGGGACTCACATTTAGCCGCCCACACACACACACACACACACACACACACGCCCCGGTCTGCCGGTCACATGTTTCCCCCCAGAGTTCAAAGGTCACCATCATTCGGCAGAAGGTTGATGATGATGATGGTGCTTTGCTGGAGTCTCGGGAACTATTAAAAGTCCAAAGGCCCCCCCTCCTAGGGACTGTAAACGTCCTCAAATCTGATCGAGCGTGAATGAATCTACGATGCAAGAAAAGCAACAGCCTGTCACCGAAACCACGTTTCCATCCGGGTTTTTAACCTCCGAGTCATCTTATTTAAACAGAAACGGGCTTAGATTACTGGAAAAAGTGGGGAAAAAAGACAGAGAGACGCACGTTTACACACGTAAAACGCAGATAAATCAATAAAAACAGAAGATATCTGAGTAAATATCTCCTTTCGGGAGGCACTTTTGCCCAATCGGACCAGATAACCTGATACGGGAACCACAAAAAACCGGAGAAGGGGAGTTCTGGGATACCTGGAGGAGGCAGCAGACCGGCAGCACGTGGCCTCCTGAGGGAGTCTGTGCTCAGGAGAGAGGCGGTGGACCGAATGGCCGCCCGGGCGGAGACATCAGGGGTGAGGCTCTCTGAGAGGGACGGTGCAAGGTCCAAATCGGCTGATAAGTGCTTCTTCAGTCATGTCAGTCAAGGTTGACCTCTTGAAATCCTTCTTTTCACCCATATACACAACACTAATGGAGCTATTTCCTTATTATCTATCCTCATCTATAAATCTGACAGATTACATACAGTTGACCCCCCCAAACTGTGACATTTCTAGCAAATCTTGACAACTCAGAGGGAATTTTTCAAATTTTCCTGGTAACAAAAATGACCCAAATGGCCAAATTCCCTCCTATTTTCATACGTTTACTTTCAAAACTATTTTCATACGTCAAGTAGCAGTAGTCTGATCCATCTGCGAGTAGTTTGCTTCAGTTGACACACAGGTAACCCCCCAAACTGTGACATTTCTAACAAATCTTGACAACTCAGAGGGAGTTTTTTTATGATTTTCCTAATAAAAAAATGACCCAAATGGCCAAATATCTGCCATTAATCGGAGCCCCACAGGGGGTTAAAGCCAGCTATGCACATGTGGAATCAGATTACAGGTTAATAAATGATTGGAGAAAAAAGGAGTCCGGGTTGTAAAACCCCTGTGTCCTATCTGTGGTTATCCTGCTTGTTATTAGAAAGAAACCTTGAGGCAGATTAGAGCCAGAATAAAACTCACCTTCTCCAGATGTCAGACCCCAGATCTGCTCTCTGGTGCTTTAAATCAGCACTATAATCCGGAAACTGATAAAAAAATAAAAGTAAAACTCCGGTCTGTCAACCATGGTGTCACATGGTTCCTCTAAAATGTTAGAATAAAAAAAAATGAGCGTCTCCTCGTTTTTTTTTTGCCAGACTCTTCCCCTTCTGCTCCTCAGCTGATGCCCTTGTGGCTTTTATGTGCTTCTGGTTTGTTTCCGGGCAGGAAAA